TTTGTGTTTGGTTCTCATCCTGTTCACATTTTTTATATTTTTTCATTGTTTTCTTATTTTGTTTAAACTTGTCTGATGCGTCTCATTTTATTTGAGTTTGGCTGCTGTCGTTGAAATGTTCCGGCTGCGTGACTAATAAAGAATCATCTGTTTTGAATCTCTTCTTTTCTCACACGCTGCTGTTTCCTCTGAAGTGTCGATGATGAGGTTTCTACTAACAACTAACTGACGTCCCGTAGTGTTGGTAGGTATCAGTGTCTGAGAACTGTCCTCATGTCCGTCAGTCACGTCCACAGACATTAAATAAAGTTGTGTGGTATGGAGATCTCACAGACACACACTCCTGACCTTTAACTTCACTTTTAGGGGCCGTCATTATTTCTGAGTAATCGATAAAAGAAGTTTTCAAATGTTAAAGAGAGCCTGCACTCGCCTGGCACTCCTCCAGAGTTCTCCAGGCTCGACATCAGAGACTTGTGTAAACGCTGCCGGTCTCGATTTACTTTGAAAACTGTTTTAGTCTGGACCAACAGAAACAAAGACTTTTATAAACCATGAAGCCGACGGTTCAAATTAATGACCATCAACAGTCTGAGTCTGTGAGGACGGAATCCACCAAAATCTCCAAACTAAACGTCACAGGACTGAGGATCAACTCTTTCCAATTAACAAGATTTTCCTGAGTTACATTCACTGTTAAACCTGAACTTCTGTGAACCTCAATAAAAGAAGATGTGTGTTTTGTGTGTTTTGTGTGTTTTTGTCACCAGGTGATGAGTCTGGTGTCGGGCTTCGGTCCTCTGATCACCGCAGGGATTTTTTCAGCCACCCTCTCCTCAGCTCTGGCCTCGTTGGTCAGCGCGCCCAAAGTCTTCCAGGTGAGAAACCAGAGTTTGATTTGATCCGTCAGCCAAAGTTTAAATGTGAGATTTCTCCTCGTTAAATAAATCGTCTTGTGATTCTAGGCTCTGTGTAAAGACAAGATCTATCCAGGGCTGGTAGTCTTTGCAAAGGGTTATGGGAAGAACAACGAGCCGCTCCGTGGTTACGTCCTGACCTTCTGCATTGGCCTGGCGTTCATCCTGATTGGTAGATGCCTGCACGCATCACGTCTCCATCTACAGACGCACTGAAAGATTTAGAGTGAAACAAACCTTTGTCTCCTGAATAAGAAACTTTTTGTTGAATACTGATTCTTTTCCTCTTAGCGGAGTTGAACATCATCGCTCCCATAATCTCCAACTTCTTCCTGGCGTCCTACGCTCTCATCAACTTCTCCGTCTTCCACGCGTCCCTGGCCAACTCTCCGGGTAAATGCTGGATAACGTGCTGTGATGTTTCGTAAGATATGCTAGTGTGGCGCTGTTAGTTTCACGCTCCTCTCACACCACAGGGTGGCGCCCCAGCTTCAAGTACTACAACATGTGGGTGTCTCTTGCTGGAGCGATCCTGTGCTTGGTGGTGATGTTCGTCATCAACTGGTGGGCGGCTCTGGTCACTCTGCTCATCGTCCTCGCTCTCTACATCTACGTCAGCTACAAGAAACCTGGTGCGGATGTGCTCATTCCACATTTCATCCTTTATAACCACAAGAAATAGAAATGAACAGATGCATGTAACCCTGAACTCTTCTTTATTCTACCTTTTCATTCCACTTCATAAACTCGTTGTGTCGTTGTTATTCGTGGTTTTCTTCTCCTGCAGATGTGAACTGGGGATCATCCACTCAGGCTCTGATGTACAACCAGGCTCTGACTCACTGTCTGAACCTCACTGGGGTCGAGGACCACGTGAAGAACTTCAGGTCAGCCGACCGGTTTGATTTCAGACGTTTTTATTCCACGACGTTTTATAACGAATCAGACCTGTGAGAATTAAATCTGGATCCTTTCATGCTGTTTGATGATGCTTCTGACCTTCTGATTCCTGTCGAGCACCAAAGTTAAATTATTTGTGAACTTCATTAATTAATGTGTTAATGTCCTCAATGATTAAATTCCCTGTTTCCAGGCCGCAGTGTTTGGTGCTGACTGGTTTTCCAAACTCTCGTCCTGCTCTGCTTCAGCTGGTTTATTCTTACACCAAGAACGTCGGCCTCATGGTCTGCGGCCACATCAAGACTGTACGTAACCAACGCACACGTCACACACGGGACAAATTCAACATGTTTTGCACGAGGGCTGCAACATCCGATCGTTCTCTCAACTAACGGATGAATCATTGTCTGAAAACCTCAGAAAATAGCTTTGAATATGCAGAAACCAATTTTCCACAGCCAAGAAAACTGAGGTTGTTTTATTCTATCAATCAAAAGATTCATTATTGATGTTTAATTGATTAATCAAATAATTGTTGTAGCTCAACTTTTATATATAAAATCAGATCATTCGT